AGCACATGGCAATTGGGACATCACATACATCATTTTTTGTGGCCAATATATGGTAAATTATTTCCTGGAAACTTTCTATTCTGTTTCATGAATATATTCATGTTCGATTCATGAATAGAAACTTCCTAGAATTCTATTATATTTATTTGGGCCACGCCCCCTTAACTTCAAACTACCGCTACAGGAAAGTGAACGAATTGGAGAGTCTCAAAATTTCAGGTTTTCAGTTCACTTATATATCTATATCACTACTGAGTCAGTGTGGCAAAAAATTTAAAAAAAAAATCTATGACCCATGGTCATGGTGTAATGCATTTGTGTGTTTGGCATGGAACGACCCAACTCTTAAAATTGTTTGTGATTTCCTATTACGTTGAAATATGTGTAGTTTTCAACATAGTATCTAGCCATGAGCTAAGTACCAAAGCTAAAATTTGGTTTATAGGTAGATCCAATGTATCTGATTAACTGGGGTAAATTTAAGAAAAGACTTTAACTTTCCACAAGACGATCCGTTGTTGAGAAACATTGGCGTTTTTCACTTTTATAGATCTGGTCCCAACTTTGAATATATGCCATTCAATTTTAATTGATTTTATCAGCCTGCGCTTGCATGTGGCTAGAGACAACTACACATAGATAATATTTCTGTAATATGAGGTGTATATACCCACTCAAAAAAATCACAAAAAATTTGCATTGTTAAACAAAGCGGCTACTTTGAGTGCAGATAACTTCAAAAGGTTGTTAATCTAAGGCCATATTTGTGAAATATGGCGAAAAATATGTTAGAATGCCAAGTTTGACCCTGATAGCTATTACCAATCTCCTGTTATAAGCTTCCAAAGTTGAAGTAAATTGCGTTTGCACATCTTGAAGAACCACGCCCCATATTTTTGAGGAGTCAATATCTCGAAAACTGCATATCCTATGAGGCTATTTTTTATTTTTTTTATTTTGTTGGTTTTTCATACAGTGGATCATTTTTATGAAGTTTCATCAAAATCTGAGACGGTCATACAGGAATTTCTTTTTAATCTGGTTGATTTGACATGGAATGACCCTACAATAGGTCAAAGGTCAGAATGTACCGTTTCCGGTCACTATTTGAATATTTTTTTTATTAGGACGAAGATAAACATGAATCTTCTGAACAAGTTGCAATCAATTGTGAGTCTCTATGACCAGTAGTTACTGAGATATGACATTACAAGGTCAAAGGTCAAACTTTCAAAAACCGCATTTACCGCCATTTTTTGATAATTTGTATTACAACAAATAGGAACATGCATATTGTGAACAATTTGAGACCAAAATCAAGTCTCTCTGACCAGTGGTTATCGAGATACAAGCATCCAAATCAACAGGCGGCCATTTTGAAAAACGCCCCCAAACGGGACTTTCCCCCAATATCTGGGAGGTATATAGGAGCTATATTTTATCTAAATTGGTCCATCTTGCCAAATCCATCGAGAAACAAAGGTATCCTAAAATTAGTCACGGATCTCATGAAAATGACTCTACTAGTGAGTGGTGAGACTGCTCAATCATGACACCGCCATTGTTTTTAAAAAAAGCGAAATTAAAAATGGAAAATAGTACAAAGGATGAAGATAATTGTTTCTCTAAGGTTGGTTTAATTTGTTGAATATATAATAAGCTGCGCCTAGGCTAGTAATACAGTCTACAGAGTAACTTACCTAGTCTAGGCCTATTCATTGAATAGCTCACTCACTGTTTCGTTTTCGGCCAAAACGACCAGGGTTACGAGGCCGCAATGCCACTGCAAACGACCCAGGCTAGGCCTAGCCAAGCTTGTCTTATAAAAAGCAAATGCTGCATTGGGCCCTATCGGCTTGTGTGACATTTTTGTAGAATGTATCCTGTCCAAAAATGCTATTCTATAGGTTAGCCTACTTTACTAATACTAGCCAGTATTACTACGTAGTCTAGGCCTACTACTACCTACTAGGCTAGGCCTACTGCTGGCTAGGCCTAAACTACTACTAGGCCTAACTAGGGTTAGGCCTACTAGGCCAACTGCTCCTAGTTAATAGCTATGCCTAGAAACAGAGGCTAGGCCTACATATATTCAATTAAAATGCTCTCATTGTCATTCATTGAAGTTTTATTATTTTCTTTCTGATTCTTTTATTTACAATACTTCCATCTTTTTAAATTCCACCCATTCACTTGACAGGCAGCCGCCTATGTGTGTTCATTTTTCCCTGATTTTAATAATACTGACATTATTTTAATACTAAAGCTGAAAGTACAGTACCTTATTTATTCGAATAAATGTCCTATTTATTGGAATAAATACTGTTATATTGTTATTTTTCTCTATATTTTTTCTTTACTATGCTATAATAGGCTACATCTGCGTTGTCTTATAAACGCTGATACACTGAGACGCTGATACACTGAGACGCTGATACGCTGGGACGTTGATACGCTGAGACAAAGATGACGTCATTGAAATTCCCCGCAAAGTCATATGCACTGAGTGGAATCGAACTGTCTCTTATACACATCTAGGATATGATCTTTCCAATATATAAAGGACCTATGGTATGAGTTTCGTTGAGGTAGGAGGTCCGTAATTGGGCCGAATTTCCGTAGTAACTACGGACGTTCTGTAGTACTTGAGAACCCTGCACTTTCGATTCCACTCAGTGCATATGACTTTGCGGTGAATTTCAATGACG